ATGTTTGACAATGGGGCCATGTATTTTCTGCTTCTGTGCAATAGAAATTTCTTGTGGAATTTTAAGTTGAGAGTGAAAGTGGTTCAAGTTTATGAAAAAATAGAATTTGAGAAATGTGGAAATTGAAGAACCATTTAATTTTTAGGAATCAAAAGGACAAGAGGAAGATGGATATGCCTCACTAGATGACAAAGAAAATGAATATGTTGTTGGTCGAGGAAGAGCCAGGGGATTAGACATTTACCTTGTGTTTATATATATATTTTTGATCATTTTGACATTATTTCAAGTCTTTAACTTGGCTTTTTTGTTATTTGAAGTATAAAACTTCTAACTATTGTTAGTTATTTTTTTTTATTCTGTCTGACATGCTTCCACCATGATGCGACATCATCTGTCATATTTATATGGAGGATTTTTGGCTGGCTGCCATAATCCACCATCAATAACACTCTTTAGAAATCAAATGTAGAAATAAATCTCTTATGATAATTATATGCCAGAGCGCCATTGCATATGCTTGTGTTTCTCCTCCTTTGTCAATTGTGCTTAATTTATGTTATTTTGTAACAGTTGCTCAAAGAGAAGGGTCTGTTACCAGAGCTTAACTTGCAAATAGATATTATTGTGTGTGCCTTGGATGAAGATCTTCAAGAATGTGCTGCTATGGTTGCTAACATTCTCAGAGAAAAAGGGCGGAGTGTTGAGTTGGTTTTGGAAAGCAAACCACTTAAATGGTATAATTTTTTTTTCATCACTTTTGTTACTTTTCTTAAAGCATACTTGAAGTCTTGAATATTTTATAACTCATGAGATGATATATAAATCTTATTGTTTATTTTCTTCTAGGGTTTTTAAACGAGCAGCCAGAGTAAATGCTGAGCGGCTCGTATTGGTGGGAAATTCTGAATGGCAAAGGGGTATGGTTGGTGTCAAAGTTCTCTCTACTGCTGAACAGTACGAGGTTAAATTGGATGATCTAAAGTAAATCAGAAATTGAATTTTTTGTGGTTTATGTACTTTGCTTCATTATTGGTATTTCATTTACCTTTATTTTTATGTAGTCCTTGAGTACCTGTTTGTATGTGTACATATACATACTCACCTGGGTGCATATATGCATCTGTTATTATACATACACCAAAACTTCTGCTTCTGTTACATTATTTATCCAATTAAGTTTTTCACCCATATTGTTTGCTCCTCCTCGCTTTTCTAATCTATTTGTGTATGTGCAAGGAAGGTCTTGTGGATAAATAAATGGGGAATTTTCACTTGAAATGTTAAATTGAACTATTTGTTTGATAGAAGATCCTTTTGACCTTACAGTTGAAAGCTTCTCTCCTTATTTTTAACCATACTAAAGATGCTTACACTTGAAAAAGAACTTTTATTAATAACAATTTTTCACACAGAATACATTCTCTAATCATGCTTTCATAGAGAAAACTACTATCGATTCACCAAAAATAATAAAGAAGAGAAAACTACCATCTCTAAAATGAGAAAACTATGACTTAAAGATAAAAGAGAAAAGATAATAAATTAAAGATAATGATAAATCACTAAGATATTCTGTTGATAAACCCCTAAAATATTCTTTTATTTTCAACAATATTTCCTAATATCTTTCTCTAATCACAACACTTACCATACTAAAGCTTTTAGACTGCTGCAGGCAATATTGATGATCCATCTGGTAATATTTGCAATTTATCATTCCATGGGGCCTTTAATCAAATTTTTGTCGTTGATCTTATCTTTTTTCAAAATTTAGAAACGCACTCTATATAAGACCATGCTTGTACGATTTTTTTTTTTATTTGGAGAAGTTGAAATTCCATTATTTGTACACGCTCTGGAAAAAACTGAACATATGCCAGTATGGTGTTTTATTTCTAGAAGTTGAAATTCAATGATCTATATAGTACATACGCAGACACAGTATGGTGTTTTATTTCTAGAAGTTGAAATTCAATTCTGCTTGTTATGCATGGGCAGTTGGGCACAAAGAAATCCTGATACCATGTGGATGGATCCTACTAAGTAGGTAATTGTAGCTACTTTCACCACCAGTTTTATGCTTATGGATAGCTCTAGTCCATTAGTTTTTCAAACACAAACAGAGAGACATATTAATAGTTTTATCATTGCTTTAAGCTTTAGTAGGGTACAATTGTTCCTACTTGCCCAAATCCCATTGTAAAGAAAGCCCCTGCCTGCAACAATAGATAGATAAAAAAATGATCTTGTCCGAATAGCAGGTCATAGATTGCACAGTGCAGCATATACATCCCCACTAAGATCTCCAATGGGTGGATCCTGATGATTGAAGTAAGGGGTTAAATTCTGCTTTGAATGAATTTACAGGGAGTAACAGTCTAAAATGTTATCACATTATGATTAAGTCTAAAATGTTATGAAAGAATATTTAAAATATTGTAATTGTGTTCCTGTTCCTCTTTTTTTTTTTT